GTAGAGGTGTCATGGTGCAGAGGTGAAGAACAACCATGAGAAATCGCCGAGGACCTGAGAAATGGCTCAGTTCCCCCTGGCCTCCGTACTAACGCGACCCTCATCGTTACTGCCCTCTGCAATGCTGAAGCTCCCTTGCTAGACAGTCAGATTCAGACGGCGAGAGGGTGGACGTGCTTCGGCGCGGGTTGCTATCCGACAGCGGGTTCGTCGCGCGGACTTCCCGTCAAGTTCAACACCTTGGTGCCCATGCAGCCCATATGTGGGCTTCAGTCCGTCGACCGCATAGGACCTTACACCCCATACTCTGGGAACAAATCTAAGTTTCACCTTCTCCATTCGATAAGGTTTCTTCTGCATCCTACACTGGGTTTTTCATTCCAATTTGCTTGACAAGATTCCTAAAATTTCACTGAAATCCTACGCAGCCTCAAAACGTAAAACATGCGCGATTTTCGGCGTGTTAGTGGGATGCACTAGGTACGCACAGCCCGCGCTGCTACTCGTCTGCTCACCCGTCTGCTTATCTGCCTTCTCGCCGCGTTAGGTTCACGCTTCGCTGCTAGACGCGCATCGGCCCGCATATTCAAGGGCTCCACCTTCCTTTAGACTAAGCATATTTCCCATTCTTCGATCTCCGAGCCTTCAGACTAGGTGTATTTCCCTTTCGTCGATCTCCGACCTCAGCGTTTGCAGTATGAACGCAGTCGGGATTCATAAAACGAAAGCGGGAAACACTCCAACAACATCACATTAACCGGAAAATTCCGTTAGTATCCAAGAATGAAATTTGAAATCAACGTTTCGAAAACATTCCAGTACGTGCACAGGTTGGAACGCAAAGTTCAGCCTATGCAGGACACTAATACAGTAACATTGTAATCGAATTCCTGACAGAAGAGAATTATTGTGGAAGTCCCAGCTGCGAACTTGTGTGAATCCCGTCAGTTCGTGTGTTTGCTCTTGAAATAGTGGATAATTCAAAGCTACTAGAAAACGGTACGAACACAATTCATCCCTGTGTAATACTTTGAATGCTCCCACCTTAAAGACACGCTCCGGGATCAGGCATGCTCACCGTTCCACACCCGAACGTAGACAGGTGATCAAGCGTTCATGTCGCGCCCCTTTTGCGGCTTGAAAGCGGGCCGGAGCCGACAATGCGTTAAAAGTTCGCGTCGACAGCGCAATCACTCGCCTTCGTCCGCAGCCCCGCCTTCCGATGTCGGTTGCCATGTGACGCGCTTGAAAGGCGCGGGCGTAGTTGCGGCAGCGGTTGCATTGCGGTTCATTGTCATTGGCACTGTAGCAACTGAATCTAGGTTCGCAAAACTCGTCCAATACGCCCCTCCTCCGATCCCAAGGATGAATGCGGATTGAAACAGAATGTGTCTCCTGTTCGGGGCATAATCACGGGTTTCTCTTGCTTTCTTCCTTCGCAGATCACTCTCCAGTCCAGCTTCATTACTAGACGCTCTTCACACCCATTGATCCAGTCTTTGTTTTGAACTTGGATTTACTTTTACTCAGCGCAAATCAAAAATCGAACGAGTAAATCGAACAAATGCTTTCATTTTTATATTATTATGTAATCTCATTTAAAGTGAAAAGTAGATGTTTAAGGCAAACAACTGTGAGTACAGTATAAAAATTAAAACGGTTAGATGTTACAGGAAGGTGAGTGCTGCAAGTCATGTGACGACAACCGGTAAACAACGATGAAAATCACAGGGAGAAATGCAAGTTGTGTCAATTAATGTGAAGGGGACAATTTTTGTATGAGCGATATTAGATCGTGCACAGGAGGGTACATGCAGCGCAGTGGAGTCATCTGTTCCTGAAACATTCAGAAACGCTAACTATTATAAGTTATGATGGAAAATCCAAGAGGAGGACAAAACTCACAGTTTCCACTTCATAAGGTATTGATTTCCTAACATCACTGAACGTTATCCCACAATTGTTGAACGCTTCGTGATCCATATGTAAATACTGAAAAGTAGAATGCCTCGCTATCCATGAAAAAATCGATGTTCGCTAAGGCCGATGTCAGACTTTGCGAATCGCGCGATTCGCTAGCGTCTGCGGTCGCGTCGCGGCCAGTGAATCACTCAATTGGCTGGTACCGCAACGCGACCGCGGACGCTAGCGAATCGCGCGATTCGCAAAGTCTGACATCGGCCTAAGGGTCCTGTATAGAGTCGGTAATACACCAGCCGAGGCCCGTGTGCGAGAGACAGAGTGAGCGGGCGAGTCGCATGATGTGCGATGTAAGACGTGCAATTGTACATTCTATTCAACTTGACATGAAGTCACTACAGTACGCTCTGCGGCTCGTCCGCTGACTCTGTCTTGTTGCCACGCGACGGGCTTCCTGTCTACTCCTATAGTCAAGCCCGTTGCATGATACATAGGGAGTGGTATCCTTTTGATTGCCTGATCTGAGGGCCGCAGCCAGTACAAGGCACATCATAGCATATCAAACTTTCACGCCAATGCTATTTCTTCGTAGAAGGACATCTATTATACTAGGTCCTCGAGAAAGACTTTGACCGAACTCTTTCTCTTTGATATCTCTGGGATCATATTGAAGGACATTCAGAGTGAGTAGTACAGGGGGGGGGCCAAAAAAGACATTTTGCCTATGTCGGACTTCGGCTCTTTTTTCTTCGCAGAGATTGCTGTCGTTGACGGGAGTTCCTCAGCAGAGTATTCCCTAAGTGTCCCTCTATAAGTGAACGCAGGCCCTCCTTCACTGCCCTCACCGTCTTCAGAATATGACGTCATCTGTCACCGTCGTCAGGCTCAAGGAGGTCTACCGTAAGAGCTTCAGCCTGAAGCTCTTACGCAATTTCGTGAATCGATTTAATGTTGGATAGTTTTCTAGAGGCATTAGCTACCACTGTGCAAATCCCCTCGGAACTAGCTTTCCAGTAAGGGTCGTTATGGTACACGATCCTTCGAAGACCCCATTGAGATCGACCAGTGCACCATGTTTCCAGGGCTAATTCTTCTGATGCCGTCCACGTAGTGGCCACTATGAAGATTTTCTTATAGAATGGAATGCGCTCTTTAATAATAAGTTGGGAACCATTCGGTCTGAATTGAGCAAAATGTGCTTAAATCCATCTGGAAGTGGAGACAAAATGTCTTTTTTTTTATTGCCCCCCCCCCTGTATATAAGCGGCGCTCTGCGCACTCACTCTCTGAAATCACTCGTTGTTGACAGGCTGAGGTCGCTCTTTGTCTCCAAGCTTACGCGAGTTTATTTTTTATGTTTAACCGGAAGCCATCAGTGCAATGATTTGATTTAAAGCGGATAATTTCCATCGAACGACCATGAATTAATGTAAAATAACGGGATTTTGTTGGAAAAACTGCCACTCGAATAAAGATTACCGCATTCGTGGACAAATAACAGTTATGCTTTTAAAGGCAAAGTTCGGGCTCAGACCCACCTAAGAAGCCCTTACCATGGCTAGAAGTGCTGGGTACGCAAGTGCAAAGGTAGCGCCACCTTTCTACATCGAAACGCGTCACTAGGACCCTAGGCGCCATGGACTTCTAACAGACTCCACCAAACTTAACATGGTCCGCCCACCGTTCGATATCTTGTCTGCGTCGCCACGTTGATCTGCTATGCTCTCTCTTCTCGGACTTCTCTACCGCTCTCCGCGCTCACATTATCTCTCATCTCCCTGCCTGTCTTTTGAACTTCTCCACAGCATGGAGCAAAATGCTCGTATTTCCTGTGTATTTCAGGATTTTCTTTTTCTCCACTGGCGGTCCACCTCCCACCCCTACTTTCACATTTGAGTGGAATCACCCTTCCAATTTAATCCTGATTCTTGCCTTTAAGTATTTGTAAAAGGCCTGAAGTGAGTTCATGTTGAATTTGAGTTGAAGGAATGCTTCAAAATTATCACAGGTTCCAGACATTTCTAGATGGTACCATTTGGAAAATCAAATATTTTGAACAATGCCTAATACTCACGACGACCCGTACTCCTGTCGCTTTAAGTTCGTCGTAATAACGGATGTTTAGGAGACGGTTACGATTTCCAAGCGAACGACAAACGAGAGTCGTCAAAAAACGCATTCCCAGCGCTCTTCCGAGCTCTTCCACTTTACAAAACGCCTTGACATCTTCTGTTTTTGACCGAATCTTCTAAATGAAGTCCTTCGAATAAATTAATATCGACTCAATTCATTTCGAATATCTCACCGATCCTTTGTGAGCCAATTCTCCGAGCACTTCCGAATATTCAATCTCTATTGAAGACTCTTCGTTTGACACTACTAGCATCGCTCTAAAGAAAATTACACTCGCACGGTGTACTTATGATTGTAGTGACTGAAAAATACCTCAGTAGTGCCTTAAAACTGGGTACTGGATTCCTGCAGTATAATCTAAACAGTGATCGCTCAGGCGGACTATCAGCCGTATCGAACGCAATCTGAACTATTAGGCCGATGTCAGACTTTGCGAATCGCGCGATTCGCTAGCGTCCGCGGTCGCGTTGCGGTACCAGCCAATTGAGTGATTCACTGGCCGCGACGCGACCGCAGACGCTAGCGAATCGCGCGATTCGCAAAGTCTGACATCGGCCTTATGGTTGTCGGAAAAAAGTTGGACCATTTTGATCTGCATGTTGTAAATCGCCTGTTAAATCTTCAGGGGTAATTCTTGAACATTTCACAACATCTGTTCAGGCGAGTATCACAAGATCTTGTATAACATCATTAAATGTTCTGAAACAATTGGGCACTTTTTGGAATTTATCGAGAGTGAATTCAAGTCACCATACCTTGACGAAATGAGCGAGGTCTCCCGCATCCACGCTTTTGGTCAGGATCGTCATATATTTCGGTCTCATGTTGACATTGATGTAGGCGTGCGTTATGAGCTTCAACTGTATGTCTGAAGAAATTCAGTAGTTGTCAAGTCGATTCTTGTGACATGCTCGAGAGCTTAGTCGCTTTGAGTGCACAGTAGATGGGAATGATTTCCGTCAAATTTATAAAGTTGAACAATAAGTTTTTCGGCTTACAGAAAACACGCGCACCGCGACATTGAGGTGAGCTTGAGTTTCTGCTCACTTCGATTCTGGAGGAGGAAGCATGTGAGCTACTTGAAGGGAGCTGATCAGCATAGCCCTGCACACGCTAGGTGAAGCGTGTTCTCAGCTGGGCAATGCTCAATGCAGAAATTTACATCTCTCTGTTTCAGAATGTCATAGTATGATTCATATGGCGATCAGAACGCGGTAGTCCTTAGTGAAGGAAAAAAGTAAATTTCTAGAAAAATATAAATCGTCCCGTACAGTAGGGTAACCCCCAGGAGGCCCGTCGCGCGGCAAGAAGGCAGAGTCGCGGACGAGTCGCAGCGTGTGAGCGATGTAGGACGTACAATGGAACATTCTATTTAACTTGACGCGAAATCCCTACAGTACGCGCGCAACTCGTCCGCTGACTCGCCTTCTTGTCGCGCGACGGGCCTCCTGGGGGGGGTACCCTGTCCAGTATCTCATCAGCCTCGTGTGACGCATGCGCTAGTTCGAGCGTTTATACTCCGTTAAAGGCGAACTTTACGGTATAAAGAAAACAAATGTGAAAAGATGGTCAGTGATGCACGTTGAGAAGAAACAAACCATGAAAAGCGACTCAGAACCCGATAAATGGGACCACTTCCTTACCCAGTGATTTCCGCACTGGTGTAAGACTCACCAGTGCTGTTCTCAACAACGTTAACGCCCTCACTGAAACGGTTAGTCAGACGAGGAGGGGTAACCCATCAGCGGGCGCGCAACGGCAGTGGGTACGACCCTTGTGGGCGGCTAGGAGAATACTTCGCTGCGAAGTGCGCATCGTCCCGTACCCTAAGGAGGCCGCCTGGCCTCCTTTCAGGTATATTGCCCCTTCTTCGACCCCCGACCTTATCTGGAATCCTGCTTTAGATGCGGAGTTTACGATTAGAATGCAGCTCATCAGAATCACGGCAGAAGAGGTCAGTAGTGTCGGAATGAGGAAAAACCATGAGAAACGGCGAAGAACCCGAGAAATGGACCCCTTTCTTGCCCGTTGATTTCCGCATTGATGCGACTCTCATCGGTGCTGCCCTCTTCAACGCTAACGCTCTCTCTGCTAAACGGCTAGAGACCTGCGGCGAGTGGTTAGCCAGTCGATGGGCGTGCCGCGCCGATAGCGCCGCGGGGAGGGCCATACTAAATCATTAGGGATATTTCTCCCCCGGAGAATTGCGTGTCGGTTCCCACCTCAGGGGATTCGCCCGTCTCCTTCTTGGCAAGTTTCCGCTTCTCTACCTTCAACCTTGTCGTTAATCCTCCTTTTACAATCATAAACACAGCAATTCGGAATTGATTTAATGTCAAGTTCACAACTGAATTGTTCAATAACTTCAAGCCCATTTTTAGTATACATGTTCAATTCAGGCTTCCGTTCAATATGAACAGCAAATGAGTTCAATGAAGCTCAAATACGAATTCAACCGGTTCACTTGCTCAAATGTTGGTGTTATGAGCAGATTCGAGGGTGCGAACTTCTCAAAACCGGAACTGATCCCTCACCGACATTATCAAATTTTGAAAACGCTAATTGCTCAGCTACTTCCGATCAAAAAAAATTAGGTGCTAGCTATACTTACTTTTTGGAACAGTAGCATTCAGCTTCACGTACGGTAAGGAGCGGGCCCATTCAGGGTTTTCCACAAGGTTCTTCAAGAATTGTTCCACTTTCTTTATATCGTTTTCTCCTCTTTCCTGCTAAATACACTTTTATTTCGCACGATCTGATTTCACAGACGTCATTCTATTACAACCAGAACTCCAAAGATTAGAAAAGGTTGTAGAAGTCATGCAACCCAAATCCAATAAGCCTTCTTACCTTCTCATCTTCCACCTGCGGTGAAACTTCATCATTCATTTCTTGATGTACGGAGGCAGGTTCGGCTAAAAATCCTCGTGGAACCTTCGATTTCATCATCGCTTTTCTGCCTACAAAGCCATATATGAGGAGGAACAAACAGGGCTACAGTAAGCAAAAAAATAATCACTTGGTAGACATTCCGCGCAGCCACTTCGGACTTTTTTGATGAAAGCAGAAGGAAAGGTTGTCTGAAATTGTTTTCCGAAACGCAATGCGCCACGAGCACTAATGTTCAAGACATTATGACCCATAATTGACATAATTACAGGGCCACTGCTTGGAAAGAGCAGCGGACCCGCAAACTTGTGGTCGGGCAGTGAACAAGTACCAACGAATGCTGCGATTTTCACATATTCATCAATTTAGCTTAACTCTAGTATGACATTAAAGGAATCTTCCACGGAAAGACTGCTTATCCCTTCCTTGTGTACAGGTGTTGGGCATGGTCATTGAAGACCATATGCAAAGTTCAGAGCGAAAATGATGAAACCCCCAAGAGAAACAGCCCTTGGAAAGACCCATCTGTGGGACCGGATTGGACCAGTAGGCGGGACCGGAAGTGCTTCTGTGACGAAGTGCGTGGCAGGTGCGGATCCACGTGTCAGTTTATGGGAAGGGCCCAACATGAATCCAGTTCACGTTCACGCTTTTGACACGTTTGCACGTGTTGACTCCACGCCGCTAACAGTTGTGGAAGTTTCTCTTTTGCCTATCTTCGTATAAGCCACGGGCGGTATACTGTTTTTTTGTAGGAATGGAGGCGATGTTTTTCCGTGGAAGATTCCTTTAAGCGGTATTCCGCATTGATTTCTCCAAGTGATGGCCCTCTATTACTATAATACAATTACGGTACTGGCCCCATTATATGGCCTCAAAGCTCTGCGGAGTGATACCGGGCGTCGAGGCAATCAGCAGCGATTGCCGCGCGCTAAATAACCTAGCTACCCCAGTTTTTTTCCATACTGGCGTATCTCACATTTGTGCTCTGGGTAACTTGACCCTCTGAGCATTCGCGCAAAAGTAAAGGCAAAGTAAACCGTCCCATCTGTGCGCGTGTGGATCGCTCTAGCAACTGCTGTAAATAAAACTCAAAGGATTTTAATGAGCCGTCCGACGATTGGAACCTTAGCGTACCAGGAAACTGCTCCTGTTGGAGCTCCACACACAGAGGCGACTGGAGGTCTCAGTTACGAGTAGGACACATATCTATTCCAAACACCATCGCTATTTGACGTCATAACCTTTTTACACGTACTCAGCTTTTAATTCCGCCCATTCTATTTTTTTATTCATCAGAAGGCACCGAAATCGGAGAAGACTAGGCTGGCTGCCAATTTTGCGACTGTTCGCTGCGCTTACCCCAGCACCCTACTCGTGATCACAGCATTAGAGCCTCCTGGTTCACGTTTCGACGACTATGCTGGGCTACCAAAGAGAACAGGAAAAGGCTGACCATTACCTATGGCTACAGCTTTTTTCTATGTGTGGGTGGAACCGCGATAGAGCCAGAAATGTGTTATTGGATGAAGTTTGAGCTCTCCAATATGGATATCGCACTCAATGAACGTGCAAGCGCCTGCAGCGTGCGTTACGAGCGCATATTCTCAGGTTCTCTTCAAGGCCACTCACATATGCAAAGGAACGCGCGAATGGGATATCTTTGAGCGAAATGTTGGCGAGAATCGTTGTAAGTGTACCTGTCCACCCCTACTTACAAGTTCTCTTCAAAACTAGCGGTCATAAAATTATGTCACCTGAATGATCTCGCTAGGGTTTTCATTGTTGAGCCGAATAACTTCGCCATCGATATTTTTCACAAAACAGCTGTCATCAACGATTCTCAAGTCCTCAAAGAATGCTGAAATGCTTTAATTTCCAGAGGTAACGAGGGGTGTGAACTTCAAGCCAAGAGATTGATCTCAATAGCAGACGTAGAGAGTACCGTCTCACATACATTATGTTGGCACTTAATTTCTGCGACACCATGGCTGCTTTTCAATCTTATTACTTCTTTTATTCTGATGTACTTATTCAATTTAGTATATAGCACCATATTAGCAGCACTATGTCAACCAGGGGAAGTGTTTGATGCCCCACATGTCGATTTTGACATGATGGCGATTGGAATATGATTTCTTCTTCAGAAGGTGAATTGAGGAGGGCGAAGATGTCTTTGTCGGCACGAGGTCAGTGCTGAAAGAGCTTTTGACCCGAAAGTCTTTATTTTGTTGAATTTTCTTCGCAAGGTGGAGTCAAACGACCTCAGAAAAAAAGCATATTTGTCTTCTTTGCTTTCAATTTGAAGGCGTCGCCATCAAGCTGTTGACGTTCTCTTCATCACTGACCCTCGTATTATTATGTGTTGGTCCCCTGCGCAAAGCCTTCTCGTATTTTTCCAACAGCTCAAAACGATCGAATTCATTTGAACCTTTCTACAGCTTTTAAACGGAAGAATTGGATATTCTTACAAAACTTTTTGACTTGTTATGATTGATATTTGATTTCCTCGGGTGGATCTGTAGTGGAACCTGTGACTATAGCACTATAGCTCTGCAGTGTAGCGCATACATTGTTTTTTACTCTGATTCGTAAACCTTGCATTCAATTTCGCGTTCGTATGGCGCCAATTTTGCGCCACCTGGCGATGAATTGGCGCTATTTGAGACGTCAACTTCGCTGTGAATTTGTGTGTAGGGATATTCGGGGCCCTGATTACGAAAATGACAATAGTTTTTGTAGTTGGCGCTGTTCCGCGCCTATTTCCTGCTCGTCTGCGCCCTCTCACTAATTAGATCGCAATCAGGACTGAGCCTTTGGAGAGTGGAGGGCTCAAAGTGAGTAAGCCACTCACTCTGTGATCTCACATTCTTCAACTTTTGCCACACGTGCGTGGTTAACCGTCTCTGGAGTCTCACCTCTCTCGCTGAACTTAGTCTTAAAGGCAGCGATTACGATAAAGTGGGAGCGCATCGCGGAAGCATATGCACCACACGAATCAGTTACTTGGCTGCCAGGGAAGCGAGGTGTAGCGCTTTCACGACGCAAGGTTCGCTGGTTGCTGAGCAGGACTTCGAAAGCACCAAGCCCCCAAAGCGTCGCGACATCTATTTTAGTTGGTGATTTGGACGACTGGAATTTAGCAGCAGCCACTCAAGCACCTTCGACCTGTAGATGGATTGGCATCCTGTCACCAGACGCATTGCACTGGATTTCTTCATGCGTCCGCTTTCTGAGCTGTTACCTGGCGTACCACTGAGTACCACCAGTCTCCTATAAAACCTTCCTGTATCTATCGTAACCACTGTATTGATATAAAGCTCATATAGCAGAAATATGGTAAAGAATAGCTGCAAAATCACGTCGACGTCATAATCGTATAAATTCACAATAACTATGTAGTAATTTTGGAGCCAAGCCCATAAAAAAGGAGAATGGTATTGTACGGGGCATCGTCTTTATCATTAGTTTATCCAGCTGAATTGTAGGCTCAGTCGTGGCGCCTACTGGCGGGCCAATGGCCCATTTGCGCCGCGCAAAATGTGCCATTATTCGTGAATGAGGACCGCTGATAACGTCCGTAGGAAAAGGTCCTGTGAAATTTGTCTGACACATTTCCCCTCCCTCGATTGGGTTGTAGTGTGCAATTTGGGTAAAGCGTGCTTGAGGGCGCTTTGCCGAGTGACGGGGGGGTATCGTATTTGGCGCGCAGGAAGGAAGTGGTCGGGCCCGATCGGTGCAGTAGTATCATCACTGTGAATGGCCAAGCATCAAGGAGTGGTCGCTGCTGTGCAACCTTGTCAAGAGGATTTCCAAAATCAATGTTTTTCCAATCACATAAAGTTTACCGTGCCTTAGTGCGGTTCGCTGCAGTTCTCTTTAAGCACCAGTTGATTTCATTTCGACATAGGTCAAGTGATCCGGAAATTCGAATCTTTTTCTTTCGAATAATTTTCTCTTCAATAAGTCACGCATATTACGGATGTGAAGAAAATACGGGCGCGCTTCGGACTGGCTCAATCCAATTACAGTGCTTTCAATACGATTTTTGAAAAAATCTTTATTATTGCGAAAATTTAAGAGGATTTTGAAGAGGCAGTCGATAGGAATAATGCTATCCACCAACAATTAGTTTCAGCGTCAAATTATTATTACATGTAAATACCAAAAGTTGGAATTTGCTAAGGCTTTACATCTTATTGGAAAAAAGTGCTGGTCGTCCAACCTGATTTTATTTTTGTACAATGTCATAGAAGGTGCTAATAGTCCAAAGTTGCCAATCACCAAGGAAACCGCTCGACAGTACCCGGCTCGGGCAAAAATCCTCAACGTAGCCGTTTTTGACAGAACGAACTAAATGACATTTGTTGAAATCTTCGACGAGTCAATCTTCCTAGTTTAACATGCTATATTAATTTTTCAGACTTATCGGGTTTAAAGAAAGTTGTTGCTTTGGAAAAGGTAAAACTCGCGCTTCACGGAAATTTTCCTAGATTTTTTGGAAATCCTCAACAAGGCATTTCTGACCCAGAACGTAATCAGTTTGGCAAAAATATTAGTGCAAATCGTCCAGTTAACAATGCCATAAACTTTTGGGATTTGACGACATTGAAGGAAATGACGGCTTTGGAAATTGTAAAAACTTGCCCTCATTAGGAATTTTCCCCGTTGATCAGACCAAGACGGACACTTTTTATTTTATTTATTTATTTATTTTTATTGTATTTGTATATTTAACAGGGTTTTGCATCAGATTTTATTAATTTAATTTTTGTCAGAAAAAGGTTTTGCTTTCACATTCTGCTTTCAGGCAATTCGTTACCTTTGGAAGAAATTTATATTCATTTAATGCGTTCGCAATCTTGTGGTGGATAAGATGGCTCAGGCAACGCCATAACACATGCAATCCTAGCTTATCAATGGACCTTCATTATCTTCGCCTCAAAGGAGCAGAAATTGGTGCAAATTGCAGAAATTGACGTCAAGCAATAGCGTGTCTCCAAATATGTTGCTTTGAATCAGATTGCATACGTTAATGCCACGTCAATTTCTGCGATTGCACAATTTCTGGCCATTTCATGGCGAGGGTATATACCATACAAAGCTGCTGTCACCAAAAATGTGGATGTGTGGAGTGAGAAGCATACTCTGTGCAGTACTAAGACTGAGTCCTTTCAAAGGTAAAGGAAGAAAAGATGCTGCCACACATAGTAGGTTATTTTTCTTGACTAGTTCGTCGTTTTCTTTTTTTTCTCTATTTGTTGGTAGGATATTGTTGAAGCGATTTTCTTTAAAATTTCCACTTGTTAAAGACTTTTGTGGAATAGCAAGTTTTTTTGATTAAAATTTTTAGTAGGAGGTTAAACACTTTCTCATGAGACTTCGCCTTTGAGGAGAGTCGCTTCATGGAATTCAGTCGCTGGGGGAGGGGGTTCAAAGTTTTCGTCGACGCCTCGCTTGACATTGAGTGCAACAGTATCCGAAATTGATTACATTTACAAAATTGGATGCAAGGTTTACGATTCGGGATGGAAAACTGTGCACTTTGAGTACCAAATAAACAATAATAGACTAAAAACTTGATGGAATTGAGTAGAAACAGCAGTTTTTTGAATACGGTGTACAACTGCGGATAATGCCTAAGCAAATCCCGCAGCAGGAGTGTTTACAGTTCCAGTGATTACGTAGGTGTCGAAAAGAGCATCCTTTATTCGGACGGGTAAAGTTGTCATAAAATTAGTGGGTATAAAACGCACTTGGACAATCATATCCTACGTTCGCTGATGGTGAACCTACTACTAGTAACGACGGAAAATTTATGAAGTCGAGTGCAAGTGTATTGATTTTTCAAGAAGACTTGAAACGCGCCAATACAGTGCGCCCGGCTATGTCCGAAATTCTTGACTTGGGCGATGGCAAAGAGGCCGATGTACACTACTTGGCAGAAAGTTGTGCGACACTTAATACGAGGATTTTGTCTGCACACTTTCCATTGAACGAGATATCAACCAAA